CCAGAAGCGCTACACGCAGAGCCCTCTACGACCAGAAGCCCCGCCAGCAAAGAAACAGCGTATGAAACCATCACAGTGCTAGACAGCCCTGGGTCGTTTCAGATCTCGATGCCGCCTCGTTTGTCCCAGCTGAAGCGCGACCTGACCACCGAAGCCAGATTGAAAAAGATCCATGATCGACTCGGCCACCCTAGTGTGGAACATGTGATGCGTAAGATTACTCCTGTGTTGGATCCTGGAACCGTTAGTGCTGTGAAGGCTCTTGCAGAGAAGGTCACGCACAACTGCAAGATACGTGATCGTTTTCGCAAAGCTGCTCCTCACCCAAAGACTTCTGGGATGAGCGCCAGATCTGTCAACCAGATCGTGTGCATCGATTCATTCGAGATCAAGTTGGGCACCCCAACCCATCATTTTTCATCATATGATCGATGCGTTCACGAAGTGGTCCCTGGCAGAGCGGGTTCCGACCAAGGAGCCCAGCGGCACGCTGCAGACCCTGTCCGGATGGCAATCCATTTTTGGATGCTTGCCAGAGAACATTTTGACCGACAGTGGTGGTGAGTATGCCAACAAAGAGGTAGAAGAGTATCTGGAGCTACACGGAGTACGTCACTTGTGGATCCCTCCCCGTGCTCCTGCTTCAAACGGCCTTGTTGGGCGACACAACGGGGTATTGAAGATTATCTTCTACAAATTGTCGCAGATGTTCACGAACCAACTCAACAGTAGGAGACTCACCACTACGGACGTCATGTTGCAAGCTTGTGCTGCTAAGAACGCCTTGGTGCGACGATGTGGGTTTTCGTCCCAATTCATGGCGCTTGGGAACAACCCGTTTTTCGACGCCATCGACGAGGCAGACCCGCCTATGCCCCGGGATCTCCCTGCGGACCCCGCGAGCAGCGCTCAAGCCAGGCTGTCCCTCCGGCGAGCCGCGCAGCAAGTAGCTATCCAGATCCAGTCGTGCTCTGAATTGCGGGACTTATTCAATTCACGATTGGCGGGTGCACTTGGCCGTCTGACTGCCGGTACCATCGTAGATAGGATTCCCGACGAAAGCTCCAAAGACAAAACAGCCGGAAAAGCTTGGAAAGGCCCAGCAACGGCGCTAGGCATGGAAGGCCAAGAAAAAGTGTGGATTCGGACGCAAGATGGTCACGCTATTTCTGTACACAGGCACAGGGTCCGCCCTCGTGAACGCAGAGGGGTCCTCGAACTCCATATCCAAGCGCCTGTGCAGGAAATTGCTCGGAACAGACACGACCAGTCTTTCGGTGGCGCGGCCTCGTCGCCACCACCGCCTCCAGCGGCGCCACCGCCAGCGGCGCCACCACCAGCCTTGCCACAACCACCTCCTGCTGCACCTGCTCCGGCTGGTTTTCCTGGACCTGCGAGCCTGGGCTTCCTGGCCGTGGGAAACGGACCAGCAACGCCTGTCCTGCCTCCACCTTCCCAGCCACCACAGCAACCTGGAAGTGGAAAGTCCTCTTCTGGTGCGGTCAAACCGACCCACCGGCTCTCTGGGAAACAACTGTTTCCTTCTGGACCGACGAAGCGAAAGGGAGAGCACGGAGTAGCAGAAGAGGAGCCTGCACACAAATCAAAAACTCTGCCACACGAAGCTCATCAGAACGAAGACTTCTTTGCAGCAGCCAACAACGATGCTGACGAATCGTTTTTCGAAGTACCGACACAATGGAGCATGATGGCTGAGGTTGCGGATTTTTGCAAAAGCTGCCCAGAAGACGCTCACGTCCCAAGGGAATCTGTTCTTGATGCTCTGGCAGCTGTGAAAACACTGAAGCGGGCGAAAGAAATTCCACGCACAATTGCAGAGGCAGATCCCGTCTTCGAAGCCCCCCGGCTTCGTGAATTACATGCTGTTTCTGATAACTTTGATGTTGTTCAGCTTCCAGATGGCGCGTCTGCTGTGCCATCCCGCTTCGTCTACACGGCCCCTGACGGCGAACCAAAAGCCCGTCTCGTAGTTCAAGGCTGTTTCGAGCCCGGAAAGGACAGCCACGTGGTAGAGAGTCCAACGTTGCATCGTCACTCGGTTCGTTTTCTTCTTTGGCTATCTGGTTACATGCAGTATGAACCAGAAGCATGGGACGTGAAGAAGGCGTTTCTGCAGGCAGACGCTTCTGCAGATCCTAACTGGGATGACTCGCCTGTGTTTGTTCGTCCGCCTGCTGGCGTGGACCTGCCAGAAGGGCACGCGCGGCGACTGAAGCGAGGAAAGACTTTGTATGGCTTGCGCCGTGCACCCAGAGCATGGTTCTTTCACATGAGATCTCTTCTTCTAGAACGCGGCTTCGTGCAATCGATTTGGGATCCATGCGTGTTTCTTCGTTTCGAAAGCCAGCAACATCAGGGTTTTGTCGGTCTTCACGTAGATGACGCTCTAATGGCTGGAACTGATGCTTTCTGGCATGTCATTGAAAGTTTGCCACTGCAGTGGGGCACTCGTGAGCACGGTAACTGCGTCTTTTGCGGTTTACGTATTAAAGTAGATATGCCGTACATCACTCTTGATCAAACAGAATATTGCAAATCTCTGTCAATCATATCTGTGCCTCCACACCGTCTGCGGCAACGGACCTCTCCAGTCACAGAAGCAGAGCGCGCCTCCCTACGACAGTGCCTCGGTGAGCAGATCTGGGTTTCGGACCAGACAGTTCCGACCGGATCTTTCCACGTGAAATCTGTCGCGTCCAAAGTGCAATCGGCAACAGTGAGCGCGCTTCTCGACTGCAACAAGAACGCCCGTCGCCTCAAGAACGTCCCGGTTGTCCTCACATACGGCCCCATGGCCAAAGACATCTGCGTTTATTCTTTCGGTGATTCTTCTAAGAGCTCTCCGCCGCAGCGCGGCGTGGCCACGTTCATAGGAGAAAAGATGGGGGGGGGTAAAGTAGTTCGTGCCTCGACGTACAGGTGGGCGTCAAAGAAACAAGTCCGAGCATGCATCTCCACCTTGGCAGCCGAGGCCCTCTCGGCAGAAGCCGCCTTGGATGTAAATTTTGCCACGAGACGCCGGATTCAAGAGGCATTGAACATGCCAGAGCCTCCGTTTGGTGTTCTGCTTACCGACAGTTGGTCGTTCGTCACCAACATCTACTCTGCTACGCCACACCTTTCGGAAGAAGATCTTACTCCAGCGTTTCAGAGAGTTCGTGAAGCTGTCGTTTCATGGATTCCAAAGCATTGTGACAAAGTACTTCCTTTGGAGCTGCTCTGGATGCCAGATTCAGAAATGGTCGCAGATCCTCTTACCAAGGACAAGTCCAACCCAGAGAAGATTTTAGCACCTATCCGTTCTGGTACCCTTACGTTCACCTCGTCCTGCAAACCAGCCACAGCACCACCAACGAGTGCCAGCGCGACGACGTCTGCCAGACCTTCGCGCCTGGGTTTCCCGGCTGAGGGAACGGCGGACGTTTGTGCCATGGTTGCAACTGCGATCGGCGCCCGGGTGCCGGCAGCGCCCGGTTGCACGAGCAAGGCTCGACCTCCTCATCCAGGTGCTTCTTCGAAGGCTGCCCCGCCTGCTCCTCCAGCAGGGCTCACAGCAGAAGAGCAGCTTGCGGCGCTTCCGCCAGCACGTCGCGTCAGCGGCGTAGAGCGGCAGCTCCAATGCAGCGCTCTGAGCATGTCTACCGAGCGCAGGGCCATGCAGAAGCTGCAGAACAAGCAGGATACCTCTCGCGAGCGACAGCTTGAACGGGCCGTAGACCTAGCACACAGAGAGCTGCAGGCAACGCAGAAAGCAATCTGCATGGATAAGCGTATCAAGGATGCAGATGACGATGCCTGTGGCAAGCCAGGGAAATACCACGATCATCTGCACCGCCGAGATGTCCAGCAGATGGGCCACCAAATGTCTGCCAGGAAGCTCCGGGACAGACAGAGGGCGAAACTTGACAGGGCCAACTGGGAACAGCGTCGTGGTAGGCATGCTGGCCGGGAGCAGAGTGCTGCTAGCGTTCCGGATTACGTTTCGGACCGCAGAGAACCAGAGGCGCCACGTCCTGTCACTCCACGAGGGAGGTCCCGCAGCAGGGACGATAGTTCTTCTGATTCGTCAGAGTCTGCTGGGGCGTTGTCGTGCGATGGAGACGATAAGGCCACCAACGACAGGAACCACGTCTTCACGAAAGCAGACCGGGCGCCCGAGCTGAGGCTGTCCACCGACAGGAACACAAAGAGGCCTCCTCCAAGCGCAGCCCGGAAAGCAAAGAAAGCCGCAAAGCGCGCCGAGAAGAAGAAAGCAAAGAGGACGACGACGACGACTACTGACTGACCTCTGAGCCTGCCTTTGGCATCTTTTAAAGAAAAGAAGTTGAGGTTGTGAAGCGACTTCATCCCTCTTCTAGTCGTCTTGCCCATCATTCTCTTCTCGCCCCGTCTCTCCTTGCCCCTGCCTTCTCGTGCTGCCTTGCGCTTCTCTTGACCGCCGCCGTTTAAGGCCCTTGAGCCGCTCTCGCCTTGCCGGAAAGAGCGGACCGCCCAAGCGAGCCCTGCCGGGCATTCCGTCTCCCGCCTGGATGGCTTTCGACTGAGACATCCTCACCGTGGTCATCGCTTCCTTGAGCTTGACGGGGCTGTAGTTCCTGGCGGCCAGGAGCACCTGCTCTGCAGGCTCGTTCTTCTGCAAGATGGCCGCGATCGTGAGCTGGGGCGCCAAGGTGTAGTGCATCTTGCCCATCCGCTCCGTCTCGTCCAGATCCTCCTTCTCGTAGGTCTCCCCGACCTTGAAAGTGAGGATGGTCTCCTGCACGATGAGGAGTCCGAGAGCGTGGTTCGTCGCCTCGACTGCAGGATGGCTTTCGCCGCTTTCTCTGTCTCGCTCCCTTGGTCGCCGTCGAGGGACTCCCACATCCCCCTGATGGCTGCCACTGCCACGTGGGCGTGAGGCGGGCCCAAGCCGTGCTTCTTCCCTGCTTTGCGTACTTCTTGTCCGTATGTGCGGGCCGCTGCGATCGCTGCCTTGAATGGTGGGCTGGCTACTGGAATGAGCCAGAAGTCCGTCGACGCGCGGCACAGCTCCCTGATGTCTTGGCTGTTCCGCAAGCTCAGCTTCTGGATCGTGGTGAGCTTGTCGTCGTAGCCCTCGTTCTCGAAGTCTAAGTCGCCCCCAGCAGGTGCGCGGCCGCCTCCTGAGCCACTGGCTGCTCCGCCCTTGCCCGTGCTGCCCTCGCCCTTCTTGGCGGCCCCCGCGGCTCCTGTGGCTTGGGGCCCTCGCTTTGCGACCTGCCACTCCGCTGGCGCGGGGGGCGCCATCGCGGGCTGGGCGAAGATCAGCTGGTCCAGGGCGGTGGGATCTGAGGCGTTGCTGAAGAGAGGGTGGCTCTTGAGCCTCATAGCCACAGATAGCACATGTGAGCGTGTCAGGGATGATGACCTCGTGGGCCCACTTGCTACGGTCTTCGTAGCACGTGCCGTGTTTCTCTGCAGCCCTCTTCGCATGGTCCAATGCCGTGATCCGATTGCTGAAAGAACTGAGGCACCAGGGGCACTGGTGTGCAACGATAAGTTATGAGAGCAGGGTGTGTGTTTTGTGGACTCCTCGTTTGTGCGCACCTAGCCCTTGTGAGGTAGCGAACCGCGCGGCACAAGTAGATTCCACTCCGTTGTCGTCAACACACACATGATCGCACCAGTACGGTTTAGTGATGCGCTCCTCCCCCTCCTCCTCATTCACCTCCTCCGATGCATCATTCCAATGCGTCGCTGCACTGCGCAAGATGGCGGGGTCGAAGTTGATCCACTGATGCCACTCCTCCGTCCCCCATGTTAAGATGCGTAGGCCGGACCTCCTCCTCTCCCACCATCCCCTCATGTGTTCATCTGTTCGCGCTGATTGTTCGGGGTCTTCGAGGTATTGTTTGGCCATTGGGGTCGACTCGTTACCAATCCAGCTGCCGTTAAGTAGTCTAATTATGTTATGTAGTCGGCCCACCGTAGAGTCGCCAAAGACTGCCGCAACCACATTAGCATGTTCTGCTGGATACAGTGCCCATTTTTGGTACCACTTGAGCCTGCGAGTGCGTAATGCAACTGCCGATCTTTCTAACCTCCACCATTTAAACACCTGTTTTGTACTTTTGCACCTTGTGTCGCCTGCTTCTGTAGTCCAGGACATTGCTCCTCTGGCGAGAGTACGAAGATATTTCCCAAATAACGCATCCAGTGCATTGGCGCTGGCTGCTGGTAGGACGAGGGCCGTGGGGCCGCTAAGGCCGGCCCCGAATACAAATGCCGTGAACATCATCCTTTTGACTGCAAAGGCTGTTTTTGACGACCAAAAAGTTCCTCCTTGCCTCCATGCAAGGCGCATGGCAGCGCATCTCCTCTGCATTTCGCCTGAGAGCCCTTGGTCGGACGGAAGGTACGGTCCTAACACACGCATCTCTCTGAGAGGTAAGCCCTTTATTTCTTTGCTCCTTCTTATTTTCCTCGTGCTCGCGTGGCTGCCTCGGCCTCGTAAGCTGAGGAGGTGGTTCGTTTTTTTTCCCAGCGTTCAGTCTCCAGCCGCCTCTGGCAATAGTTTGTTCCAGCGCTGCCGTCGTCCCATTGAGGTGCTCCACTATTGTTGTAGCACTTGCTGCTGGTGGCATTGCATGGGCTTTGGTGATATCATCCATAAATGCGTTGATTGCCAGGTCGCACACTTTGCCAGTGATAGGGTGCGGCGTGTCGCGCAGCCGTTGTCGAGGGCCCTGTCGCTCCTGGGTGTTCCACTTGTCCACGTAGATGTTGTACCCATCGTTGAAGTGTCTTGGCGCCGTGGTAAATCCCATCTGTGACCCAGTAGTTGTTGCCATTGTCGTCTCCCCTTCTGCTGTATCCATGGTGAGGGTCGTGTAACCGATCGCATTCACTGCATGTGGCTTGTCCCATGCGTCGGCTTGTTTAAAAGCAACTGCCCGCAGTAGAGACTTGCGCGCGCTGGCGAAAGCGTTGGAGCAATCGTAGTTGGTGAACACAGCGCTATATCCAAGCTGTTCTGCCTTCCACTTTGTCGTCATAATAGTAGCGATCGAGTTTTCTCTGCGCCTATGGGGGAGTCCTCCTTGGGCCCAGGGGGGGTGCTGCTGGGGCTATCCTCTTTTGTGGGTCCCTGCAAACCAAGACATGCCCGTGCTGCAATATGCACGCGTCACTCTTTTCCCCTGGATACCATCCTCCCCGTTCCCATTGTCTGCATCGAATGCCTTGGATCGGTGCCAGTCCAAGGGTGTAGTCTGCGTCGTGCGGCATTTCACTAGCACCTCAGTGAGTCTGTCGTGGAATAACGTGTTTCTGCCGTCTGCCGCCACTTCAGTACCTAGTCCTGCGTACTGCCCCCTTCCAATTGTGTAGTTCACCACATCGTTTTCCTGCATAACCAAGCCCTCTCTAACACCTAGCCGTCCTCCGCCCCATCCCATTTTTGCTAACAATTGCCGTCCTCTTCGAAAACTGTATGCTGCACTCAACTTCTCCAGCTCCTCTTCGCCATTCCTTTTCTCAGCCTCTCTGATTGCTCTAGCTTCTCTTCGCTTGCTAAATTCGCCTGGGCTGCCGAGGTTGATCTTCGGGTCGAGCAAGAGCAGGGTGGCTTCTACTGGCAATCCCCATTCTGGCCACGCTCTCCTCTTGCCTGCTCTCTTGCTGTGCTGCAACATGCTCCTCCTGTCCTGCGCTACTCTCACCATAAGGTCGTGCTCGCATGGTAGGGCACTTGGTCGGCATAGTACTCCTCATGCTCCAGTAGTTGTTGCTGCAGCGAGATCGGGACAGTTCCTAATCCACCCTGGGAGGGGTCCTTACTTAGTTCCTGTTCCCACTTGTTGTTATCCCAGTGTGTCTTGGGTGAGAAGTAGTACATCTTTTTTGGTCCTCTGCCGTTCATCTGGTACTGGATTCGCAGCCGGTGCATTTCTGCAAAGTCGCTCCTCTCATGTGCCTCCCAGATCTCCTCCACTAGCCGCTTCTTCCTCTGCTTCTCGTGCGTTTCCCTGATCTGCTTCAAAACTGCCGTGACCTCCTTCAGCTGCTCTCTGATGCTCTCCTGCTCCTCGTCTGTTACCTCGGGCCCTAGCTTGGCTCTGATGTCTCTTCGTCTGCCCAAGAGTTGTTGCCTGTGTTGCTTGAGGAATTGCGTCGAGGCGTCTGGTTGTTGCTGTGTCTGTCCGAAGGTTTGTCCTAGTGCTGTCCTGACTGCTGTGGAGTAGAGGTGCCAAGAGCGATCAGGCGTCGGTGCTGCTATTGCTTCCTCCCAGTCCTCCGTACTTATTGCACCTAGCTCTTGATCAACTGCTCGTAGCCACTCCTCTCTCTTCCTGCCCTTCCCCACGCAAGCCATAAGTGCATCCTTGTCCAAGCGTTGTCGTGGTGGTGGCCGCGGTCGTGCGAAGTGCCTCGTGTTCGGGTCGAGGATGAGTCCGACTGGTACGTGGTCTCGAAGTCTTCGGGACCTGATGGTCTGCAGGCGCTTCCCTGCCGTGTGGAGGGCCAAACAACGCTTAACTAGGTGCAGGGCTCCTGCTGGGATCGCTATATGGTCGATTCGCGTGTTCCCCCCTTGCGTGCCGTAGTAGGTGGGCCCTATATCGTACCTAGTTGTAACTACTGAAAATGTGCTGCTAGTGCAGAGTTCTCTGAACATTTTCCCGTTCTCGTTTTCCAGCCATCGCTCGATCCCCCCAACACAGCTGTCCATACTCGCCTGCACTATGCCGTCCGAGTCGCGGTGCAGTCCCATGTCACTGTTGAGGTCCCCTCCTACCACTATCATTGTCCTGACTCCTAGTGCGTCCGTGGTGTGCTCTATCCAGTTCGTCACTCGCTTGCCGATCTCGACGTAGTTCTTGAGGTGGGTGGGGGCGGAGTAAACTGGGAAAAATGCGTAGTCTTGCCCTGGGGTGTGCAATTTAATGCCTGCGACTCGTCCCTGGAGCTGCGTTGGTGGATGACTGATAGCTCTGAGGCTGGTCTGCGGGATCAGCCTGCTAACTAGGATGGTAATTCCGCAAGCTTTCGTGATAAATCTTCCCTTGCGTGCACCAAATCGTAAACACCAGTGGTTTGGGAGTAGGGTTTTTTTTAACTGGTTCTGGTCCACACCATTCGGCACTGCCGCATATCATAATGATGTCCCACTGTTTGAGTTCCAAGCTGATGTCTGTAAGTCTCTCGATTGTCCCCGCTGACAATGGGTTGTACACAGCAATGCGCATGAAAGCAGAGCGGTACGCGGGTGCCCCCCCTCTCACCTGGCCATATCGGTTGGGAGGCGTAGTCGTGTAAAGGTGTAAAATGGGTGCTTTCGGTAAGTCGATCGCTCCCCCTTAACCCCTTAAGCCGACTAGGAGGAGGAGGAGGAGGAGGAGGAGGAGGAGGAGGAGGAGGGGGAGGGGAGGAGGAGGAGGAGGAGGAGGAGAAGGAGGAGGAGGAGGAGGAGGAGGAGGAGGAGGAGGAGGAGGAGGAGGAGGGGGAGGAGCAGGAGCAAGAGGAGCAGGAGCAGCAGGAGCATGAGAAGGAGGAGGAAGAGCAGGAGGAGGAGGATCTGAATCAGGGGCAGGAGGAGGAGGAGGGAGGAGCAGGAGGAGCAGGAGGAGGAGGAGGAGGAAGATGAGGAGGAGGCCGAGCCTCGGCGGCGCGCCCAGGGGGGCCAACGGGAGGTTGAGCAGGGACCGGCTGTCCCGGCATTCCTATAGTCCTACCACGAACTGTTCTTAGAACCCGAACATGTTCCAAGAACGACAACCCTGTTCTTAGAATATAAGCCCGATGTGCTAAAACAAGACAGACTCCGCCAGAAATGTTCTAAGAACATTTCGTGGAAACCACGAAAGGCTCTCAGAACATTATTTGGTGGGGCTATAGGCGAGCCAGGACGCTTCGCCACTGCCTGCGAGGGGAGCAAGGCCTCCTCGGGGGACGGCGGGGTTTCTTGGAGGCCTGCCGGCCCTCGGAGCGGCTGGAGGGCTGCCTCCGCACGGGGGCCCATAGGAGGCTCTCTGTCTCCCCCCCCCTTGGGCGCGCCGCGGGCTCGGGGGGGGGAGGAGGCACGAGGTCTTATCCTTGCGGATGCCATGACATGGGCACCCTAACAATCCGATCATTGAATTACATGTGCGTTTAAAAATTAAAACGTGTCCTCAAAATGTGTGATGAAACATGTTGTTCTACATGTTTAAAACATGTTTTAAACATCTTTTACACATCTGGAAATTATTTGGCAGCATGCTTCCCGTCCATTAATCGACTTCCACAACCCTGAGATTGACAAGCCGGGAGGCGACGACAACTCCAGGGGTGACCCCTCTCAGAAGATGAGGGAGCCCCCGAGATCGGCATCGAGACAGGGCGACGTGAGTCAAATGGGTAGGGATGTGTGCTTCAGGCTTGCAAGTCTGGGGGGGAGCCCAGGCGTCTCTTCGGTGCGACGTGCCCCTCGTGGGAGGAGGAGGAGGAGGAGGAGGAGGAGGAGGAGGAGGAGGAGGACAGGGAGGAAAGGGAGGAGGGAGGAGGGAGCGACGCTCACCACGAGAGAGGGCAGGCGGACACGAAGCGAGCAAGGGAAGCGAAAGAAGCGGACACGAGGCAACAGGAGAGAAACGAGAAGTCCGATGTCCATGAATTCCACTCTCGAGAGCAAAGCGGACCCGAAACTCGAAACCTTACCCCTCAGGCGCGAGCACAGTCTCGGAGTGATCGGGACTGGCGCCTGTCGCAAGAAGCAGCCTGACCCGCATTGCCTTTTTCGCAATAGCGCGGGCACGGGCTTCCATCAAAACAAAAACCTGAGCACTCGAAATCCTTCCCTTGCTCCTCAGCGCATTGAAAGAGGAGAGCAGGATATCAGAGGCAATACCTAAAGAAAGCAGCTGGCTACGATTAGAATAGCAAACAAGATGAAGGAGAAGACGAGACAGAGATGGATGCTCGGCAAAGCAGACAGACAGGCTAGGGAACAAACGGGAGAGAGCGGCTACTGCTACAGGGCAGTCATAGTAGTGTCTCACACAATCGCCACCGACAGCACGACATCCGAATAGGCACGTTAGAGCTCCTCCTCCGTTATGTCTAAACCTCCTCGTAGTGCACCACCCGTTGCAGATCCCCCGCAGCTGAGCGGCAACAATGAAGAAGGGAAGCTCGGCGCTGAGGAGAAGCAAGTTGAGAAAGCAACGATCAGCATCAGGTGGAGAAAGCTGAGGATCAAAGTGTTGACACCGAGGAAGCAGAAGAGCAGCAGCAGAGGGAACATCCATATTAGCTTGAAGGAGCTGGTACACTTTCCGTTGAAAATTAGGCGCGTGACGATCAACAGGGCATCGAGGGATCAGCTCTAGCTCGTCCTGCACAGTCGAGAGGTGATGAAAGATGCTCTGTTGCACCCATAACTGCCGGCGAGGGAGAAGGACTCTCTCATCATCCTCCAGCGCGCGGGCCCACTCTTCACGAGCAAGGTGCAGTTGCGGACTCCGAACGGTAACTCAATACGCGGCAGCTTTACATTCGAGCTCGAGATGACGCGGCTCGAGCGGCGCACCGATAGTCTTGAAATTCTGCAAGAGCTTCGGAGGGATGGCATGCCTGGGCCCGTTGGCCAAAGCCTGCAGCGCCTCTCGGACAGCTCTAGTGGCCTCGGGTGGAGGCGGGGGGAACTGGCCCACAAACGTAAGCGTCGGAAACCCAACAAGGTTGAAAGCCGCCGGACTTGCAAGAATACCCATCTGGAGACTCCTGCTGTGGCAGATTCTCTTCTTAAGCTCGGGGATCGGGTGGGCCCAAGACGCTCCCGCACTGTTGAGACCTAAGAAAACCCCAAGATACCTGGCAGAAGCAACGAACTGAAAATCTGTCTCCTCAACCCCCTTATCCTTCAACTTCTGGACGACCCAATCCTTCCCTTCCCCCCCGAAGAACACAATGAACGTCTTATTCGTGTTGACAGTGAGCCCAGCGCCTCGCTCAACAAGCCTGAACTCCGGCATAACCGCAGGCATGCTCTCAAAGAAGTGCCTACACGAGAGCCCAAGGTCATCTCCAAATACACCAAGCTGAGCGAGCTGGAACTTCATTCTCCTGATAACCGGGTCAAAGCACAGCGCCCAAATCAGTCCAGAAAGCGGGCATCCTTGTTTCACCCCTCGGGGGCACCGAATGCCCAAACCGTCCTGCTCACAAAATCCCCGAAAGGAAACGTGCACGACAACGTCGCGGTACAGCTCCTGGACGGCCCAGATAATATTTGGAGGAAGTTCCATGGCTCGCAAAATCCGAAAGATCCAGCCGTGCGCCAGAGACGGACAGGCACTGGCGATGTCGAAAAAAAAAACATGGGCAGTCTCGGGCTCTCCATACACTGGGACCCAGCGGAGAATGACGGCCTCGAGCTCGATAATGTTTTCGGCAAGCTGACGGCCTCCGATAAAGCCACGCTGGCTGAAGTCGACTGAGCTGTCGGCAATGGGCGCGAGGTACCAGCCAACCATGTTGCTGATAATTGTGTTGTCGGTCGGTGCTGCTGAGGGCGATGGGGCGGGTGATGGCGGGCTGTCGGGCAATCACGCACTGGCCCTCGCGCTCAGTGCCCTTGGGCAGAAAGACACTTAGTGCAACGCTAAACTGATGTGGCAAAGGGGTGCCACTCAGTAGAGCCTCGTATAACTCGCACAGGGTTTCGTGCATCAGACGTCCTCCTTTCCACCAAACAGAATACGGGAGCCCATAAGGGCCAACGGCAGAATCCGACTGAGCCTCCAGAAGCTCGACAAAGTTGTAGGACGGCGTTTTCGTAACAGGGTTCGGGGGGGCTTTGTCCACAAACGGTATAGACATGTCTATGACCTCCTCCTCCACCGCCACCTCGGAGAAGATGCCCTGCCAGTGAATTCGCAACGCCTCAGCTCCGTGAGCAGGGTTAACAATCGGCATGCCTCGTGGGTCTCGAATCTGGGCCAGCCCGATCTTCCTGGATTTGGGGGGCCACCCCGCCCGGCGCTTCCTCAGGGCCTCAGCTCGGGCCTGCTTCTTCGAATGGGTTTCGGGTAGCTCGTGATTCTCGTGCATGAGGTGGCCAATATGCTCGCGATTCAAAAGGTTCAGCAGCCCTTGGAACCCGTCGAAGTCAGAGAATTGCCCAGACCCAGTATCAATATATCTCCGAATATCAGGAAACCCACGGCAGGCCTTGGCGACGACGCCACCGTCCCCTCTACGAATGGCGCGCTGCGCAGCAAGCATCCACGAGATCTTCTGTATGGGGGTCGCTGGGTAAGAGCCTGCAAATTCGGCAGGCACCGCCTGCTTCGCGGCGAAGGCAACTGACTTGACTTCAGCGAGTTTGATGGTCGGGTCGAGGTGAACATCCACAGACGCAACAATCGCTTCGACATGCCCAGGAAAGCTGGGGCGCTTGGCAACCCAAGTCGGAATGCGCCCCTGGTTCTGGTTTCTCATCGAGGCTGGCGTGAGCCCCAAGTAGATCGGAATATGGTCACTGCAGTTGCCAACGCCAAAGACACTCCCATGTACACCTGTGGTAGGATGGAGGTCGAGAAGGGTAGACGTGCAAGCATTCTCGTATAGATCCAATCCAACCTCGCAACCGACTCGGGAGCCCCATTGCGATTTCGAACATGAGTGGGCCATTCCTGCTCGACCTCCGCTAGACCAGGAAACTCGGCCTGGAAGAAACTATCCAGGTGGTAGCAATTCGACAAATTACCTCCCGAGCGCCGCCCGTCAAGATACTGACGGTCCTCTCCAGGAGCGTAAAAGTTGAAGTCGCCTCCAAAGAGAGCGAGCGCAAGCCTCGGCCCACGAACAAGACGAGCTGCTTCCGAGAGCACATTTCTTTTCTGTTGCACACGAAGCTCAGGATCCAGATGAATATTGATGATTTGCAAACGTCCCATAGGCCCCGAAAGCAGAAGCGAGTGGAGCCTGCCTGCTTGATGAGCGCGATGCCGAGCAGAGCGAAAGAGACAAGCGAGAGATTGTTGGGCGATGATAGCACATCCACCAGCGTGAGCAGACTGACAGTAAGTAGTGTAGATACGATGCTGAGGTAGAGACCGTCGAAGGGTTTCGTCATCTCCTGGAGCCCCGTGCGTTTCCTGCAGAAGAACAATAGAATGCCTGGCGGAAAGATCGTCGACTGTTTTCTGCTTTCGACGCTGGAGCCCACGAGAACCAGAAGCTCCCCCATGAAGACCACGAGAGTTCCAACTGCATATGCTTAGGTGTTGCCGAGGGAAGAAGGCATGAAGAGGCATTCGGCAGCCGCGATCCCTGCTGCTCGAACTGGAAGAAGAGCAGACAGAGGACGAGGAGGAGGAAGAGGAGGAGGAACTGTTGGAAAATAGCCTGCCTGCCCGCACAAGACTAGTGTTTCCTGCAGCCCGCTGACGCTTCAGCGGTGGCTCAGTGCAACAAGGAGAAATATTATCGAGAGACGGTTGCCTGCAGCACTGCAGGCGGTCCGTGGCCTTGGCGGCGCCAATCCCCCACTCCAGCAGGTTGCCGTCATTGGCATGGACGGTGAACGTGTCGCCGGGCGCCTCGGTGAGCGAAAGCAGGTCCCAGACGTCGTCGGGGCTGGTGACAAACAAGATGCCCTTCGGCCCGTTCGTGCCCAGCTTGTGCGTGCACAACCCCCAGCGAGGATGCACTTTCAGCAACTTGAGGACAGGCTCCCAAAGCTTCCCCAGCGTCTTCTGCTTCTTCCTGACATCGAGCGTCTGGTCAGGACGTGCGCGGACGAGCTTCTCTTCGCCTCTGCGCGGGTCCTTCCAGGTCATCAGCGCATCATTGTCCCTGGTCTTCGCGATGAATCCTTGGCCTGGTCGGGCCCCTCGAAGATCACCGAGTAGGCGTACTGCAGGTTGTAGATCTTTGGTTTGGCCGTCTGCTGAACCGCATGAGGCATAATCATATTGATCTTGTTCCAGTGCATCTCGAACTGGGCTCCCATCAACTTGCGCGGGAAACCTCCGA